TTCTAAGAAACCGGGGGGTCTTTGTTTGCAAACTAACCTTTCTTGTAGGTACACTAACGACCCTTTGCATCTTTTGAGATTGCATGTTAAATACTCTTTTGCTCCTCGTTACGTCTTTCAAGACCAAGGGATGAAAATTATAATTTTGCTCCCGATCGCAGTGTCATAAGATACTGACCAATGATTCTTCTAAGATAGATGAGAAGGTAGGTATTCTCCAGTGCCCCCTAAAGGGCGTTGATGTCGGGAGGTTGCCGAACTTTCGGATGAATTGGACTTGAAATCGCTTTAACGTATTTGGAATTTTGAACTTTAAAATTAATATATGTATATTTTTTTCTTTTCTAAAAAATGGCCGGAGGCTATGATACAAGCCCCCAGTCATCCTCATGTGCCTAACCACTCGATCCAGCACCGCAAGGCAAATGCACTTAGGCGGGCTCCAACCCGTGGCCCCAGGAGACTTAGAACTGACTTCGGAAATACCAACCAAAAAGTCACGGCGAGCGGCATATATATAAAACATCACTCATTTAATTTTAAAATGATTGGGAAAACTTGAGCTTTTAAAATTCAGGTTATTGGGGTTTTAAAATATCGGGGACCCGCACCTTTAAATATTTAGGCTCTATAGGCTTAAAAGCATTCAAAATTATAAAGTTTTAAATTTTTAGGCTCTAAGGGCTTTTAAAGATAAAAAACAAATTTTTAGGCTTTTCAAACTAAAAATTTAAGTTTAAAATAAAAGGCAATGAGAGGTTTTTAAATTCAAGTTTCAATGGTTAAATTAACCTAAAGTTGGACCTTCAAAATAATTAGCTTAAGGTTTATAATTAATCCAAAATTTGAAAATTTCAAATTTAATCTCTTTAAGTTTGAATATTTAAAGCAACCAAAATATTAAGTATCGGTGCTTTTAAAGATAATCTAATATATTTGGGGGGCTTAGCTTCATTTAAAGTTGAAGCACCAAAATGCATAAGGCTAAACTTAAACTATAATTCAAATACCAACCCGAATAGAGGAGCTAAGTTCGATTTAAAAAAAAATCCACCATCGGATTCACAATACTCTTGCTAGCGAACAAAAGACAGTATTTCTTAAAGCCAGGAGATGTAACATTGCATATGATAATTTCCAAATAAAAACATAAATTTTCAAAATAGCTAAAGATCTTTAAAGTCTATATAAACCTCATGATATTTTTAAGTCAAATGCAATAATTTGGAATATAAGAAAATATTTTGAGACTCTGTTTGTACTCTCTCAAATTGTGTATGCTTTAAGAGATTTGTAGAGATAGGATTTTGATACGTGAATTCAAAATCTCTTGTTCAAAATTGCAAAGCATAGCTATAGTTTAAGGGTTACACAAGCCTTTAAAGCCTCCGAATTCTTTAAGATATTCAAATATATAAATTAAATGTCCGCATGTGCTCCAAAATAACATATTTAATGCTCAAATAATAGGTTCGAGAATCTTGAGCGGGCGAATCGGGCCGACTTGTCTATAGAGCAGGATTGTAAGTCTCATCCCACCAGTCTGATCCTCTTCCTAACAATGGCTGGAGTTGACGAGTCTAGTAAAATAAATGTTCAAATCTTGAAATAAAAGTTTACAAGTCCAAATCACCAAACTAGTTTGATCCTGATAAAAAAACTGGAGTCGATAGGACTTATCTCCTAAAAGTTTACACTGACAAAACTGAATGTCCCACCCTACTAGTTTGATCCTCCTAGCAAGGACTGGAGTTGACGAGTCTAGTAGTTTTAAAATAAAAATCTAAATTTTAAAATAAGAGTGTACAAGTCTAAATCACCAAACTAGTTTGATCATCATAAAAACATAGGAGTCGACAGGACTTGCATCCTAAAAGCTTAAACTGATAAAACTGAATGCCCCTTTTAAATATAAAATGGTCAACAGCCCGATGATGGTCGTGTTAATTGAAGATTTCAACCGGAGGGGTAAATTGTTTAAGTTAAGATTTATTAAAGTAAGCAAACAAATATTTAAGCAAAATTCAATCACTAAAAGCTTAAAGCTAAATTCTATCCACTATCTGCAACAATTTATAGAGGGTGATAAGCTTCTGATTGAGTTCAACTCACAAAAAACAAATATCATATCAAATATATCAATATATTCACAATCAAGATAATTAAATGTCAGTAAGAATGTGGCCCGAGACTTCTATCTGCATGTTTCTGTCGCCAAACGACACCACAAAATATCGATTACGATCAGAGCCCTCTAACAGGGAAAAAATTTGCGTACGTAAGATGTACGCAGCGCTGCATATATAATGGAGGTTATATTCACATTATATCGGCATTATATTTTATCCCCTGTAACATCCATGTAACTTTCATGTAACTTCCATGTAACCTAAAGATATGTGAAAACAGAAGCGCAGAACTTATTTGTAAATTTAGGTAGGTTACAGGTAGGTTATATGGATGTTAAATCGAGATTATAGGCGATATAACACGGATATAATGCAGATATAACGTGAATATAACATCTATTATGTACGCAACGCTGCGTACGTTTTACGTACGCAACTTTTTCTCTTATAATAGGGTGGTTGCCGCCAAATGACACAATTTTATTACGGTCACAGCCGCGCCCATATATTCCCCAACGGCTTTCTACCCTTCGAGTTGTAAATCATAAGGGTATAATTGATTGACATAAAACCTTTTGTTAGCTAAGATCGACTTAAATTTGTCCCCTCAGACAAATATCCACCCCAGATCTACAAGAATCTCTTGGACGACGCAGTCCATAACTGTTGATAAGAATTCTTCTATCAGGTTGGGCCGACTACTTCCTCTGACTAAGTAAATCAATGACCACGATGACCCGGGATGATGGAACTTGATCAGGTTCATCTTCATTCCCCCAACACCCGCTTTAAACTATAAGTGATGAATTTTGCAACTTAAATCCTAAGTTTGATGCTATTATAAGTTAAATTTTCAATTTTTAATAACTAGCCTTAATCGAAAGTGTTTTCATGTTATTGGAATGGGTAATTAACCATAGGGGTTTGCACCTATGGGAAACCTTGAACCTGAGATCAAGAAGTCCCCGCTAAATGATGGCGAAATCTTTGGGTAGTGTCTCGTCTACAATCCAATTAGCCTTCTGGAAATTAGATCATTTTAAGCTCCGTCTCAAAACAAAAATTAAAATAAACGCAGAATTGTCCTAGGAGCGGTCGTGAATTTTCGGAGCTCACAATGACTAAAATCAGAGCATATACTATATAAAGTTTTATTGATATGGATTTAATAGATAAGACTACTGATTTATAAAACTTAAATTGGATTAGAAGCTTGTTCAGAAAATCAATTTAGTTACATCGGTGGTGCTTAGGTCTCAACATGCAAGTTCTAAAACGATGGGTCATTGATACAAAAGCAAACTAAAGAGAGGAACACAACAGAGTGAAATTAGCTACTTCAAGAACTTTTAAACTTTAAAGTGCTAAATAAAATAAAGTAATTTAAGAAAGAATTCCACTATCAAAATAAATAAAAAGCCAAAAACAATACTGTGATTATGTCCGAGATGCCACGAACACATTGTCTTAGTATATCATCCGCCAAATTAAATGCTTCGGACACAGGTGTGCTTGGAGAAACAGCAGTTAACAGCTTATCATTTGGAATGATGATGAGCGTATCAACATTTTCCCTTAGAGCTGCAATTCCTTCTTGTGCTTGAACTGCTCGTTTCCTTCCCTCAAATGAGAAAGGAGTCGTGACTATACCAACTGTGAGTATGCCCATTGACTTTGCAATTCCAGCAACCACAGGAGCACCACCAGTCCCAGTCCCCCCACCCATCCCAACCTGCATGAAATTGCATGCCAAATAAAAAAAATACAAAATTTAAAACAAATGTCATATTTGCAGTGTAGAATATAGCATATTAAGGAACCAACATAACTGGAGAAATGAATAAAAGAAAAAAAGAAGGGATAAACACTTTAGAGAAAGGAAAGGGGGTTAAAAATAAATTGAAATAAGACATTCTAAAAATATGCTATTATTTGTGTTTACATATTTAGCAAATAATTCTTATGTATTTACCTATCTCACAGCTAAAATTTCATTATTGCATACATTGCACTTCAATAATTTAAACCTATACATGAAAAGATGGATTTTACTTTTAAAAGTGATAATAGTGATATTTTTTTATGTGATATTAAAGATTTGAGTGCTATGTGTGTAAATTTGAAAGTCTAGGTGTGATACAAGCAAATACATAAGAATTGTGTGCCATGTATGTAAATTCCCTTAAGAAAATATTTTCCTAAGGCACAAAAGAAAGCATTTATAGACCATGTAACAAACAAAAGCCATGCAGTGACTATATTAACGTTAAATTTTATAACTGATTTCAAAGTTCAAGCTTTAATAACAAATAAAATTATATACAGAAAAATATTCACCGCCATGATAGATTCAAGTGTAGATTCTAGCTTATCAAATATAACTTCAAGACCATAATTAGCTTACTGTTACAAAAACCATATCAGCACCATAAACAGCCTCCTCTATCAATTCTTTGCTTTCCCTGGCAGCATTCATGCCAACATCTGGGTTCCCACCAGCACCAAGACCCCTGGTTAACTCCTGTCCAATAGGCAAGCGATGCTCAGGGTTTACCGGAGACATCCTCATGGCTTGAACATCCGTGTTAACAATCCAGAACTCCACTCCATCCATGGAATGCTCAATCATTCTATTGACAGCATTAGAACCTCCACCACCAACTCCAACCACTTTTATCGTGGCTGCATTATCTTCTTTATAATGAGATGAGTCCATTGCATCCTCAAAGAAAATTTCACCTGCGTTATCCTTTCTTGGATTAAGAAGTGGGTTATTCTCCTCTCCTCGAAGCATTGAAACCTCAGGATGCGTATTCAAAAAAGGGTCTTTCTTCTGATATTTCATAATGTGAGAATTTGAACAGCATTTCAGTCTAGAGTTGATGGTGGTAATGGAGTTTGTCGTCTGCCCTAAGCCAAAGGGGGTTTTGCAGCCATGACAGAACCTGAGTGAGCAATTTCTGCCAATGCCGCTGTCTAATAGTGTTCCTCCTCCAGGAAAAACAGAAATTTGAAGCGAACATCGGGCGTCAAATGATGTTATAAACGGAATGCACGTCGCCATATAAGAGGCACCAAGATCCAATGTATTCTTAGGGCACAATAATTTCTAAGAAACCAAAATACATATGCTTGGCTATACTTCTTATTCCAAGAACCTGACAAAAAGAAAGAGCAACAAAATAATGGCGAGCTCCTGCTACAAATAAACAGTGATCAAATGCTATCAACAAGAACTAACCTAGAAGAAACAAAAATATGCAAAACCTACATACATTCTTCGAAGATGAGACAAAACTACCATAGTTGAATCAACTAGAAATATCATCATTTAAATCGTAAAAACCACTGAAAAAAAGAACTAGAAAAGAAGTACAAACCCAAAATAAAAGAGAAGACAACCTTGAGCACGGCAAAAATTAGTACAAAAAAAGTTTTTTTCTAAAAGAAAGACTGGGTTCAAGCTGAAACCTAACAGAGGAAACCAGAAAGCGCTAACAAAGAGAAAGAAGAAGAAGAAGCCCAAAGAGGTGAAAGTCAATCAGCATACCTCAGATAATTCAACAGTTCACTAATGCATCGGTCCGTCCACTTCTAGCCTGTAAGAGAATAAGGAGAAGAAGATCGAAAGCAAAAGAAAAACATAAAGAATCAAAGGTGGAGATCCAACTCCTTACCATCGAGGGTTTAGGCGATTGGTTGATCCCTTAAACCCCACTCTCGGCAGCTCATTTGCAGTTTTTTTTTCCTTTTTATTTGTTTTGTATCTTATAGTGCAGACAGAAGGCAGAGTACAAGGACCAGCATGGTGGCCATCTTCCATGGGAGCTGGCGGAAGCGTGGGAGTAGTCCGGCTGGATCAAATCCTACCGACCGATCAGCATCAAGCGGTCAGTGTCCTGCTCTGGTTTCGTGTCGCTTTCGGATCTATACCCATAATCAACCCGATTGCTACATGTTGGGAAGCAAAGCTTGGAAAGACTTACAAGGATAGGACCAATGCACTTGAACAACTCGGGTCAGGGTCTGTTTGAGGCAGTCGTAGCTTTTTAGATTTCAGCTGCAGTTGCGCTGTTCCAAAAAGTTGCTTTAGGAAAGCTGCTGCGGGGAAGTTGGCTGTCTGTTTGTTGCAGCTATTTGAAAATAGTTGTTGGTCAGCTGTTTCTAGAAAAATGACTATTTTGCCCATATTTAATAAAACTATGATAGTCACATATTTGATACTTCATAAGCAGAAATTCATTTCAAAACAGAATAAAAGTTCAGATATACAATTTATTTTATTACCATTACAGGTAAAATAATCATTCTAACTCATTCTCACTTTATAAATGTATTATTTTATTATTAAATATCATAAAATACAAAAGAAAGTGACTTCCAACCCTCACAAGTTAAACTCACTTCTCTCATGTATGCAATTGGTTTCAAAAAAAAAAAGGTAAGAACATTTTCAGAGACTTTTAGCAAATCAAATACTTGTCATTTTTCTAATTACTTCTAAACACTTACCTCCCAAAACAGTCCTAAATAAACAAATTTCAGGAAGATTACATATTGATTCATAATATGCACCCACCGATTAGAGAATTGAATTTTACAACAACAGAGCCCAAGTAAAACCTAAACTTTCAATAAAATAAAAGATTCAGCAGGGACAAAAATGGACGGAGGCACATTTAAAAGGAAACACTCACCTTACTGAGGTAAAAAAGGGAGCAGTCGGCAATGTTTAGCTGGAAGAAAGTCGGCCTAGCAACCCTAGATACGTGACGGGAGACAATTAGCCGTCGAGATTACCGATGGCATTGCAACGACGAGGATTAAGGTTTTTATTGTTCTTCGTAGAGAGCTCGCGGTAGGCTAGAGGAGAACGGAAATGATCAACGGCGGCTTCGAACGTCGCAGGGAAGGAGGATCGTGTGGAAGGGAGGACAGGGAAGGAGTTGTGCGATGGAATCGACTGCGATAGTGGAGCGATAGGGAGGGAGGAACGTGAGAGCTTTGACATCCAACAGAGGGATTTTGGTTAGGGGAGAAGCGAGGAGGGTATCATGCGTAATAATCCATCGTCGACCGCGGGCCGTGGGGATCGATACGCGGCCCGCTTTCCGCCAAAATGGTGTCCCGCGGTGTCCTATCGTGCTCGAGACGCCGAACCAAACACCCGCACGTCGCGGCCCGCCAGCGCGATGCACTCACCCCGCTATCCCAAACAGACCCTAAATGATATAGTATTTTGTGACAATCAAGGGCATTATTCCTCCTTATTCCCTTCCAGTGGTCAAAGAAAGCTTAAGATTTCTTATTACAACTTAGTTCCCTAAACTATGCAAAAATTTCTAGAATTTTGCATCTTCCTACACGATAGCAATCACATAGAAGTAATATTCCTTCTCTTCTAAGTCGGTGTGCTTTTACTTGATTGTTTCACTAAATTTTCTTCTGAAAATCATAGATCGCAATGATTTTAACAAATTTTAACTAATCTGGTTGAAAGCAAATGAAGATCATAAAGTTAAAACATCACAGGGATTTAAGATTCATTTAATCACATAACAATGTTAAATCATAGATTTCTAGATTACTAATTCAAGGGAGAAAATGAGATCTAAGTGCTAACTCATGCTTTGAAACAATAAAAATAACATTTTATTCATCAAATTAAATAAAATGTAAGAGTTTAGATATTATAGAACTTATAGATTACACCATTTCATGCTTCCATTGCAGTTCTTTTCTTCTCCACAAGTGATTGAGTACTCATAAAATGCAAATTACAAGAGAACTGTGCATCGCAGCTGCCCTCACAAACCTTCATGAATCTCTTCTCTCACTGTTACGCACTCCGGGTTTCTAAAACAACACTCGAGGGACCCTTGACTCTTCATATTACACCCATTAAAGATTTTGCTCGTGAAACGATGCAAACAAAATATGTTAACAGAAATCCCGTGCATACGGGCGTATGGGCGTATGGGCGTCTGGATCTCTCGAGACGTCCATGACTAAAGCTTGGGCGTTCAAGACCGGCACCGATGCATCTGGTTATCTAGTTTCGGACATCAATTCAGCTCTTAGGCACTCCAATTCAACTCCTTTGTTATTCAAGTTGTCTAATCATCCATACCTGCTAAAAAAAGACAATTAAACACAAACAAATCCACGTTTTACAAGTATAAATAACAATTAAACACAATTTTTACAACATTTCATTATAAATTTACTTCACATTAGTGACCTCCAAGATTTGTAGCATATACTTGATTCAAATATTATGTTAATTTGAAAATGTGATGGAGAGATGTACTAATTTTAAATCTATATGTTTGGCATATATACATCATCTTTTATATGATAATTTTTTGTGCATAAAATTAAACGGCAATGATAGCCTGCCTGTTCTCGTGGTCTGAGATTTCATTCTTCTCATGAAAGATGCTGATTTGATAATTAGATGACAATAAATTGTTTCCTCAATATTAAAAAAAAATCATATAACCATACCTAATCGATTAAATATCCACTAATATGAACAAAGAAGCATTAAATACGTCCATCTATAAAGATTTGGAAACACATCAGACAAAATTAATGAAGAAGATTAACAATATAATAGCCACATCAAGGGTTACAATTTTTATAAAAAATTTCTCACAAAGTTTCTTTGGAAGATTTTGTTTGTCCTTATATGCATGAGAGAATATGTCATTATTGTGGGATGATCATGACACGACTACGTTTCTTCCTAGAACTACATAATGTTAGAGAGGCCAAGCCTTTTAAATAATATTAATGGGCAAGCCAAGTCGCATGCAAAGTACCAAGACAAAAAAAAGTAGAGAGAGAAAGAGAGAGATAGATCAGGGAAGATGAAAGCTTCACTATCATCTTGGAACATACAATGAAATAATTGAAATATATTTAGATATATAAAAGTCCATATTAATGTAGTGTTTTTGTTGGATTAGTTTATGATGATCACTAGATTGTTAGAACTAAAGGATTGGGACTTCATGAGTCCTACGGAGAGTCCAATTAGAAAGTGTCAAAAATGCTCCCATCATTGATTACAAAGGAGATCGATTAAATGAGTAGGGCAAGATAGTAATGTTAATATAGGCCAAGCAATCTCATTTAAATCGAATTGAAAGAGGGATAGGAGTGAGCTAAACTTAAATAAGGCAATCTTGGAAGTTGGCATGCCTTGCTTCAAACTTAGCTTGATCATGGCCATATATTGGTATAAGTTTTGGAAGACATGTAATGATGAAAAAAGAGATTGCATCACCTCTAGAGATAAGTCAAAATCATTTCATAAAAATAAATGGAAGACAAATGAATACACATAATTATCTTTTTGTTGTGTGCTAGAAAATTCGTGGCAGTGGATTAGCAGATTATCATCTTAGCGTGGTACGAAAATTCAACATATACTCAGAAGAGCGAAAAACAACTAAAAATGACACAAGAACTTTTTACGTAGAACCTGTAAAGAAAAAAACAATGGAGTCTGACTCAGCTGAAGAGTTATACTATAAATAATGATTACAATTGGAAGTACTTTTCCCACATGTTGGAAACGGTTCAAAGGTCTTCCAAGTTACAACGTCAACGTGCATATGAACTTTTCGCAAGGAACGGGAGGCCGATGATAGTGATCGGCGACAACCGACAGTTGAACCCTTTTTGGCATGTCCTAAGTGCTCTTGATTAGCCATTTATGGCTTATTTAATGGGCACTCTGGGGATTTTGCATGAGGTGGCTGGTTTAAGCTTCCTCTCTTCCTCATTTCACCCATCTCCTCTCATTTCAGTTTTGGGGGCTAGTTAGGAGAGCTTGATAGAACACAAGGGAGAGCTCCATCTTCTTCCTCAAGGTGCTTAAGTTTTTATTGGAACTTAATGCTTGGAGCAAGGAAAAAGAAATGATACTCTTCATCTTCCTCGAGAGAAGCTCAAAGGATTTGGTTTTCTCCCAACTTCTCCTTCTTCTTCCATCTTCTGCCTTTTCTTCCATCACTGCATTTGCATGTGTTAGGAGAGTTTTGTGGGGAAGAGCTCGAATACCAAGGAAACAAGTTGTCTTCTCTTCTACACTAAATGAGAGCTTCATCCTAACTTAGGGAAGGATCGGTAAAGCGCTGTCGGAACTTCGTCAGAATCTCATCGGACTCTCCTTCTAAAGGAGAGATTCTTCATTCTTTATAGAATGAGTGGAGCGGACCTCGTCGGAGCTTCACCAGAACTTCGAGCCATCTCTCCTACCACTAGGATAGCTTCATCCTACATGAAGAAACGTGACATCAAGCAAAAAGTTGGAGAGAATCTCTAAAATTCCTCACATTTTCTCTCTTAGCTAGCCCTAAGGATAAGATTTTGCTAGGTGTTGTGAGTTCAGTCGCCCACACGAGGCGAGTTGGCCGACTGACACTGGTCGGCACGACCACACTCCATTGGATTAGTTATTTATTTCCTAGAGGAAGCCCTAAGTTAGGAACCAAATTCGTGGCCAATCCCTTGGGAAGCTGAGTGACTTCCCGTTGCAAGCCTTAGACCTAATTCTAGTGGGTTAGAATCTCAATTTTCCACAGCTTTGTCACTTACAACCTTACTTGGAGGGGTTGGAATAGTTGGATCTCGAGGAATGGGAAAGACTTTGTAGCTAGCCCATTCTACAAGATTATGGGAGGCTTATAGAACAGAAAAATATTTATAGCTAGTTCAACCTATGAATGGTGAAGGACTTTTATGAGAAATAGAAAAATAGAGTTCTCCATGATTCCTCACCGTGAATCCAAGAGCTAAAACCCTAGGTACTTATGTGAGATCG